GCGAGGGGGTGGCGAGCGGCGCTTTCAGCCCCTTGTCCTCATCCCGGGGCAGCTGAGGGATTTGTGTGCTGGAGTGCCGTGTCCGGTGCCGGCTCAGCGAGCTGCCGGAGGCACAGGCTGCCAGCCCACCACATTGGTGCTCTGCCTGCCTTCCCACTGCCTCGCAGGCTAGGGGCTTTGGCAGTCGCCCCCGTGGGGTTGGGCTCCCAGAAAACCTGTGGGGTGAAGGGGTGGGTACAGACCCATGTCACACAGCGCATTGGGGCAGCAGGAGCTGTGCCCTGTGCTTAGCTGGACTCTTCTCCCTAGGCCAGGCTGGGGTCCAAGTGCTGCTCTGGGCACTCTGCTCATCCTTGTTGGACAGTCCCGGGCTCTCAGCACACCCTAGGCTGGGGACAGCACTGTCCCTGTCTCCCTTTAGCAGCAGCCTCTGCCTCTGCCTATCCCTGCCTGCTCTGTTCAGGGTGCTGGGTGCCATGGCTGATGCCAGGGGGGAGTTAGCATGCCAGACCCTGCCTTTCCGTGTGCCTGAAGCAGTGGGCTTAGGGGGCACATATCACGTGGAGGCTGTGCATCACTGTGCCACAGTGGTGGTCCTGCCCTCTGGGAATGCCAGCTCTCTTCTGTCCAAAGCTTTGGAGGAAAGGGCTGAGGATGGCTATTGCTGCAAGAACCTTCAGCACTGATAATTATTTCTGGGAAAAGATGCTGTGTTCTGACTTAAATGCTGACATGGGACTCTGAACACGTGTAATCTGGCTGACAGATGGCAAGTCATAGAGGTGTGATTTATGATACAGCACAGTAGCTGAACAACCTTCTCTGGTTGTCAGGAGACAATTCTTCCTGGTGCTGCGGTTGATGTTCTGATTGATGGCTTTTCCCACGTGTCCCTTTGGTGTGTGGGGACTGCCTTGGCAGGTGCCAGTTGTGCCCATCGTGTCAGCCCTGAGTGCTTGGGTGCTGAGCTGCTGCAGAGATGCTGCCTCTGATGGAGGGCTGAGCAGGTGAGCCCAGATCCTGCCCAGATGGACCTGGAGCAGTGCCCCAAGGCTGGGGAAGCAGTGCTGGCCTTGTCCCCATCCCATGGCTGGGATGGAGCTGGCTCAAGATGACAGTGGCACCTGGGGCTGCCGTTCTCCAGACCAGCACTTGTGGAGCTGTGTGTGGTCCTGATGGGGGAAGGCAGCGAAATCTTACCCATCAGATAAGTGCACAAGGGGAAGGATGCTGAGAAGCACAGAGTCTATTTTACCTGCATGCCCTCTCTGTGCCTCAGTTTCCCTGTTTCTACCTTAAAATCCCTAACACTGATCCTTCATAGGGGACAGGGACATCTGTTATTGTTTGGAGAGTGCTTGGTAAGTAACAGTGTGGTGTCAACAGCATCCCCCTCCCTGTTCTATAGGCTCACCCCCAGTGCCACCCGCAGAGCCCAGACCTGGCACAGTGCCCAGCGCTGGGAGAGCATCCCAGCCCTGGGCACACCATGCCTGTGGGAGCATCCCAGCCCTGTGGGAGTATCCCAGCCCTGGGCACACCATGCCTGTGGGAGCATCCCAGCCCTGTGGGAGTATCCCAGCTCTGGGCACACCATGCCTGTGGGAGCATCCCAGCCCTGGGAGCATTCTGACCCTAGGGGCCTGGAGTAGCTCAGCACAGGAGCTCGGAGGAGCTGAGGAGCAGCATGGCCCTGCTGGGGTGAGGGGCAGTGGGTCGGCTGTGCTCCCAGCGCAGCCATGGCAGAGCAGGTATGATTCATTCCCCCTTCTGCAGCATAGTTTATGTAAAGCAGCTCTGGATAAATCACCAGATGATCTGTAATGTGCTCCTGGCTTCTAATTAGTGATACTTCTGCTGAAGCTTTGGGTCTGGCAGAGGTGAGGGAGGCTGGTTCGTGCTGGATGAGCTGCTGACAGCTCTCAGGGGGGAGGTGGGCTGTCAGAACTGTCACAGCCATTCCTTTACCTCGGATGTAGCAGCTGGAGGTTGTGGCCAGCAGGTCTGGGGAGTGAAATCAGCATCCCAAGATTCTTGGTCAACTTCTGACTCATTCATGGACTGGCTTTGACTTGTCTGTCCTGCGTCAGGCAGATCTGGGCAGCACCTGCCCTGGCCTGGAGAGCATCCATCTCCTGTCTCCCTGTGCCTTGCCCTTGATGCCTTGTCTAGCGACTCACAGCAAGGTCACATGTTCCTGAGCACCCAGGTGGCTTCTCCATCCCCAGCAGCCCACCTTGCCCAAGGGCTAACTCTCCTTCATCCCTAACCCTGATGACAGGCAGCACATTGCCCTGTTTTCACCCACCAGCTCTTCTTCACAGATGCTTTATCCAATCTGAAGGATGCAGTGGCTGCTCCTGCCATGCTGGAGAAGGTGGATACATCCAGGTAAAGCTCCTGGGTGTGTTATTGGCCCTGTGGTGGTCATTGCAAGGGCCGTGTACCAGCACCACAGAGGCTCTTGTCACAGGGGCTGCTGCCTTCCTGCATCTGTGCAGGGCATCTAGGATTTCCCAGCCCCTCATGCCTGTTGGGGACCGGTTTGGGAGGGGTGGCTGTAATGGTGCAGGGAGTGTGGTGGAGGTGGGGTCAGCACAGCAGACAGGGCAGGATTCTCCAGGCAATCCCAAGATCTCAGGAGATGAACACCCTCAGCATCCTTTCATCTGGGGCTAGAGCCCTCATTCCTGCAGGGTGGCAGGAGCTCCTCCTGGGCAGGTGGGAAGGGGCAGGAACAGCAAAATGCCACTGAGGAGGTACTATAGGGAACCAGCAGCACCTGTTCCCACTGCCCAGCCCCATTCCTGGGTCAGCCCTGCTCATCCTGGTGTCCACACCATGCCTGGGACTGCTGCAGAGCACTGGTTGTCAATGCCCACCTCTCACTCCTCCCTAAATGGGATCTTCTTCATTCCAGCTGAGCTTTGACACTGGATCAAAGGAGAGTGAGGTGGTGGGGATGGTGTTGGTGCTGGGCTCTGCTCTATGGGCACCAGGATCATTCCTCTTCATTGTCTCTTCCTCCGGCTGTGAGCGAGGGAAAGCTGGGGTTTGGGTTTCTTGTTGGGTTTCTTGTTGGGTTTCTTTTAAGGCAAACCTCATCCTTTACATCAAAGTAGGATTTTTTTCTCAAGAATGCAAAGAATGACCCTGGAAGGTCTGAACAGCTCTTTGCTGGCGGGGACTGGAGAGACAAGAGCCCTCTCCAGAAAGCTGTCTCCACCCCTTGCCCAGCAACAGCAATTCATAAGCTGAAAAATAAATCAATAACCAGTTAATGAATTGAAGATGTCTGTGATTAAAATGTATCGGGGAAAAAATTGTTAGCTGGTCGGGGCTGGCCTAATTACTGTGAGGAAAGGCAGGGAGCTCTCAGTTCTGAAAACCAGCTGCTCTTTTTCTTTTTTTTTGGAGATACTTTGGTTGAGGCAGGAGAGAGGAGAGGAGAGGAGAGGAGAGGAGAGGA